GGCCTAAATGAGAGAAGTAACTGCAGAAGCACAATCAACCCCCGCCCCCCCCGTCCCCCAAATCACAGCGGCTGGTGAGAAGCACTACTGACACTGAAGTGATCTATCACATGCAAAAAGCCTGCTGAAGGAAAGCAAACCTCTTTCTCTGAAAAAAGGAAAAAAAAATTTAAAAAAATCTATATCAAATGTCACTATATTCCTTCTGCGCACAGGACCCCGAGAGAAGCCACACTCAGATTTCTCCCGCGCACCGGCAGAAAGTAGCCTGGGGAAATCACGGCACGAGACGAGGCAGAGAGCGTCACCCCGGGAACACCCGGCACGGTGCAGGCAGGACACTGCCAGCGCTGCTGCAAGCACGGCTACACCAACCGCCCCTCGCAGCAGCGGCATCAGCCGCTCTCCCCATCGTCACACAACTCGGCACACCCGTCCTCTAAGGGCAACGGCAACTATCCTGGTCTGTGGGATCTCCCTTGAAAGATTTTGAAAATCTATTCCTGCAATTAACTTTAGAATGAAGCACTTAGCTGTAAGAATTAATTAACTCAAACCTTCCTTGCAGCCATTCTAACAGTATTTCTTGTCCTGTGCGCAGCAACGAGAACAGAAGTTCACGTGCAAACCCTCTCCAAGAAGGTACTTCTGGATAATTATCACTAATAATTATTAGACTTAATATTTGCAAACCATTCCAGGACACAGTTTCTCTGATTTATCTCACTGAGAAAGACTTAAACAATATTGCCATTTTCTGCGAACTCACAAGAGGTTTACAAAACACGCTGCCAAAGCAGAGGAATCGTTTAGCTAAATCCCAGCCTGACCAAGCGTGAAGAGACCCTACGACGTCCATTTATGCCATGACCAGGCACACGCGTGTGCTTCCCTACGGCTTGTGGTCCCTGCAGGTACCACTGCCAGAGCCTGAACTCCAACATTTATTTAAGGGAAGGGGGAAACAGAAGCCGACAAGAAGCTTTTCCCTGTGGCACTCTGCCAACACGGTCTAACGTAACCCAGAGGGCCCGTGGCCAGGCCGTTCACGTCCAGGACGGCCCTGCCCAGCTTGCCGGCAAGCGTTCTCTACAGACTGACAACTTGAAGAAACCTTCTTCGAGCAGCAGCAATTTCAAGCATTCTGCAAGCATTTTAATAGGGCTGGTACTGTATCAGGGCTGGTTTAGGTCTTACAGTTTCATAATCCACATATGAACTTGAAAACACAATATAGTATTTGCTCAAAGGGAGGAAAAGGAAGTAGGAAGTGACAATGATGGATATCACATGAATGAGACGATGGACATCGTCCCATTTCTTTTTCTGCAGGGAAGGGCAAGAGATGGACATCAAACAGCCATAATCAAGAGCTTTTTACTTTCAAAGACAGTTTTGAAGAACAACAGGGAAAACACAACCTATGCAGAGCCATTTGTCCAGCTGGATTCACAAAGCTCCGATATCCTGTTCCACTTACCGAAACTTTTTAACATGGTGACAGAAAGGGAGGAAAGACATAACCCGCTACTTTGTGGGAGGAAAAAAAATCCACACGTAACAGAGCAAACTGAAGCTCTCTCCCACACCTGACATTTATTCTACCCTCAGGCGCATTAACAGGACACGCACAGTGCTAACGGCACCTGCTCTTCACCCCCTCCGAGGTGCCGGCCTGACACTCGCCCCCTTTTTCGAGGGCTGCCTCGTTAGATGTTCTTGACAACTGTTTGGACAAGCTCATCTTTATTACGTCTCTGCCCAGCTCACCCTTGCACTCGGAGGAACCGCTGAAAGCCTTTCGAAAGGAGACAAGTGCTGCATTCACATTGATTTCAGAGAGCTCCTTTGACACCAGGAGAGCTGTTAGCAGTCTCCTCTGCCTTTCGTAAAAGAGAAGGCCACAAGGAAATTCCCAGCAGGACCATCTTCAGCTCTCAAAGCCCGCTCAGGCACTCCCTCCTCCCTGCCCAGGAGAAAGCCGGCAGAGGATGAAGATGCCTAAAGCAAAATAAATAAAAACCTCCGCTCTTCCAATCTCCCTTCCAGTTTCTGCCAATCTTTACGCCACGTGAGTCACCTCACATCCCCCACCCTGGCCAACAGCGACCTTTGCATCAGCACACTTCATTTATTCATACAGCTATTCTTACAACACGTTATCAAGGAAATATCCTTCTATGAAAGCAAGGAGGAAAATCCATTTTTTCTACTACAAGACTTCAGGCAGATAACTAACGTCTGAGCAGCTCGTTTTCTCCTCCGTGAGGCGGCACCGATGCTCCCCTACCTTAGCAAATTCCCACCAGAAACACCTTCAGCTCCCCAGGGATTCAGGGAGTAACTCAGTAACAGTAGCAGAGGCGCCGAGACGCGGGGAGGCAAAGCGGCTGCTGGCAGCCCAGGTGGGTAAGCACTGCCAAACCCTTGTGAAAACCGCACGCAACGCAACCGCCTCTTTACTTGGCGCAAGCACCTGGTTCAGGCCAAGCTTCCCTTCGAGAGAGCTGCACGGGGAAGAAAAGGATGGCTGGTGCTCCTTACAACCGAGAGCGCCCAAAGTCTCCGCTCACGCCGCGGCCCCCGGCGGAGCCCCCCCGGCCCGGCCCGGCCCAGCGTCCCTCCTGCCCGGACGGCGCCGTGAATCGTGGAAACGGGGCCAGTTTCGCTGCCGAGGGAACGCGGGGCTGGCGGGGCAGGGACCCGC